GCTACGGCGGACCCGGTAGGCATTCATACTAACTAACTGCTAACTAGGTTCACGACCGCGGACTAGGTGGGGGGTTATGGCTACTCTCCATCTCACGTCCTGGCCACCGGTCGACCGCGTGTATGATATCCCGTGGTTTGTGTGGTACTGGTCTCCCGCCCAGAGGGCCCCCTTCGTTCGATGTTGCTCATGGCGGTCGCTCGACGGTGTACAGGCTCTGTACAGACGGTTCGTGCTATTTATTCAAGCGCAGAGCGACGAGGCCAAATTACTTCTTTTTCCCGTGCGCTGGAGGCAGAGCGCTTGCTTTATTACTTGGTTCCCATAGCTCCCATGGCATGTCGTTTCATAACAAGATAAAGTGCTCAGCCTATCGAGCAAAGGTTCCACTCAGCCCCTTTCGTGACGTCCTGTGATGCTTCCCGGTTCACGAATGTATGGTATTGTACCCTTGCGAACTGGAAAACACGACAGCCATTCAGAGTGTGAGTTCTTTGGTGGCATTGGAACATACGTGCGGTCAGAATTGTTTCGTAAAACATCACTATTATTTTGGAAAGTTAGTGTCTTTTAGGTTTACACGATACTCGGTTATGGTAACATCATCATCTTACAAGGCCAAAAACTGATTTTTTTTGTGATCTATAAGCAATCAATAGCAAGTAACTAACAACTCTGTTATGCAATACTGGTGTATGGATTCTTCCGTTTCGAAAACTAACTCGTGATATACCAAAATAATTGGGTAAAATTGGCAAAATCTCTTTTAGGTTTGCAATAATATGCATTGCAGAAGAAATGTGGATTTAAGAAATCAAATGTTGGAGAATGAAAGAAAAATCTTGAAGCAGTCCGTATTTTGTCATTGAACTGTACATTGTTGTTTGATATTCTGTTCAGACTATTAGGCAACGATCGTAGAATATAAACACGAATATTTTAATCTTTTGATGATGAATGATAAAAATTCATCCATTACATAAGGATATAAAGTACATTTTGTATCCACCTTTTACAAAAAAGTAAAAAATGTTAAATATTTACATAAAAAATATTTTATTTTTTCAATAAAGTCTTTCAAATACAAATCTCTCTTTCTCTATGATAGATAAACAAATTGGAAATTTATTCTACAATATAGATTTTTTTCCTCTTACGTACATTTTTTTAAACTAAAATTCATTAAATCAACATAATATATGTAAAATTTCAGCTCATATATATATAATCCATATAAGTCTCACAAAAATATTTGAGACATAATAAATGTGAGTTACACAGTGTCTTGTTACAAATATAGTTTATGGCTCAATAATGGCAAGAATAATTTGAATTCAATAAAATCATGTTTTAGATCATATATTTAACAAACTCAAACTCAAAAAAGTCAAAAAACATCATGCAATATCATTACCAAAATGAATGCAAACTATAATGTATTGATTAGGATCAGATCTATTCGTTGATAATAAATTTGATATCATAATGACATAGCATTTGTTATTTTTATCATAAGACATGCTAATTTATGGATTTAAGTATAATACAAAAATACCAAAGTTAAATTTTTTAAATATTTACATTCATGATTGAATCATTTGATTAATTTTTTAAAAATCTATCTAGGAAAAAAAAACTGTAATGTCATATAACATCATTTTCAAATGAGTTATAAATGGTGCATTAGTTTTTTACGAAAAATTAAATTTGATTCATCAGTATAAAACTTACATTGTCACATTTATGTAAACATAACTGATCGATGTTATTAATCTTATTATATTATTTTTCAAAATAATCATTGATAAAATATGTTATGATATTTTGAGAATATGTAAGAATTTTTAATTTATAAATTAATATATTAACCACTAACATTATAAAAATTTTGAATAAATAATTTCAAATAATTTTGAATGTAATTGTCAGCTATATCTTGCAAAATTTTTAATGATAAGCCAATTCTGTATGGCTAATAAAACATGTATTACTTATGTCTCAAAATGGCAAGAATAATTTGAATTCAACAAACTCATGTTTTAGATCATATATTTAACAGGTATTATTTGGCTTGTTATCAAGATGTCACTATGTCTTAAAATGTTAAGATTCAGGACTAATTTTTTTAATATGAAAAATTATATATATAAATAAATATATATATAATTCTGATCCATATTTTAAATTTCATATGAAATACATAATTTGAATTATTTTATGAGTTTACATTATTTTTAACTGGAAAATATTACATTTATTGAATTTTGGAAAATGGACTTGCAATGCTTGTTAATGTATCTCAAATTTCGTTTTCTACATATGTTTGATCTATATTAAATTTTTTTAATACTTATATGTGTAAATTAAACTTAAATTTTAATGATATTTCTAAATATGTTGTGATGAACTATGCGTTCTGTGCAATAATCATATTGTTGCACATACTTCAAGTACATTGAAATGCTTCGCCTATTAGATGTTTGTTGACGATTCAAGACTTCGCTTGATATGAAATAATTTTCAAGCTTGGTTGTAATTAACATTTATGAGATGATGATTGATGACATAAAAACATTCTGTCTATCTTAGGGATAGGGCTTTTTTTTAACATAATTAAGCTCTTTAAAATCTCATGAATTTTGATCAATAGATTACATCTTTGGAAAACTTGTAATTACAACCATTTAAGTTCCAAGTTTGAGCTACCTCACAAAACATGTTTGCAAGTAAGATTGAAAGTCTATACAATGATATAAGTATGGTGACGTGAATACCTGAAACGCTTGTTCATCAAATCTATAATATGTGGTCAATCATGATATATGACTATTCATGATACCATATTTGATTTCATCAATCTTTAACATGCAAAATGATTATGTTCATTTTGTATAGATTGCATTGATCAATCATATTGAATTTAACCCTAGTTACATAACGAGGAATAGCTAAGTTATAGTTATTAAACTACTAATATTGTGTGATTTGGGGTTATACTATGTTTCATTGTACATAAAACTTTACTTAAAACATTGATAACAACATGCATGCATTTTGATACTATTCAAATTCATGTAATTCGATGAGATTTTATTGTGAAAAATTAATTGGTAATTTTCAAAACAATGATAAAATTGTCGCGGAAGTCTGTACATTATTGAAACGTTATTTTTCTTATGATTCCTAGGGATGCTTTGTAGATTAGATGATTTAGTCTTTGAGGTGTAATGTAACAGAAATGCAATCATGGCATTTTGTGAAGGTATTAAGGAGGATCTTTTCAGCATCATTTGGAGCAAACTAGTCATCAAAATGCAATTTTATCAACTTTATGTGAATCCTATGTTTATTTATTGTGATCAAGGATACCTTGTTGCAGGGATCTCTATATCTTTATGTCATATTATTGCTAGGCATAGAACAGTGTCTCATATACTTGAAATTGAGGAAGTATGTTGGTTGAATATTGGTAGGAGTGTACGGATTTGTAGGCTATATGATGGGAGAAATATTGAGTGTGAAGAGCATGTGTTGCTTACTTGTACTAGATACGTAGAGATTAGAATGGTTAATAAAGTTATTGAGAATTTCTATTTTTTTCTTCAGCTTGAGACTTATGATTTAGGTTGTTACATTAGTGATGTTATTAGTTACCATTCTAATGCTCTTGTCACAAACTAGAGGTTCTTTTGGTTCTCTCCTAGGTTGGAATTGATTGTTTGTATTGTATTTTTCAACCTTTTGATCCTTTGGGCTCCATGGGCTTGATCTATTTACCATTAATAAGGAAGTTGGTTTGGACCTTATGATATTAATCAAAGGCATGAGTTGCACATATACAAACTTACATCTTTAAAGCTTTCATATTTTGTATTCAGTACATCACATCAACATAACTTACATCTGTAAAGCTTTCATATTTTGTATTCAGTACATCACATCAACATATCTGAACATGATATTTATCAAAATTGTTTATGTTAAGGATATACATGTGTTACAGGGTTATATTTATGTTGTTTGTGTGCTATGATCTTTACTGTGATATGTTTTTTAACGAAACATGCGTTCCCAATCACGAGAATTTTGTTTTTTTCGGGTTACATCAGTCATTCCCAACGGTGCATTTGCGTGCATTTATCATGTTGCAGCGTACAAGTGAGTATAGCAAACACCCTCCTTAGTCTATCAATGGTTAGCGGTGGAGTTAGATGACTTCCACAAGAGTAGAGGTTTTTTTACTTGTATTTAAAGATGTGACTGAAATGGATAATAACAACATAAAACTGTGAAAACTTTGGGTATCAAAAACTAGAGATGCTTGCATTTCTAACAAAAGTCTAAACCTGCAATATCGTAAAACCTCATACAAATACTATATTAAGATTCATAAAAAAGCAATATTGCTATTATGGAATTCCTTAAGACATTATCAGCTATATTCATACAACGACCCAATCGAACGATTGCTGAACTTTCGGAAGTGTTCATGGAGACCAGCAATAGCCAACCCTGGTAAGCCTTTCCAGTACCACTGACAAGAAAAACCTGTGACTATTCTAAGTGGACTGCAGTGGAACACTCCGAGAGAAACCGCTTTCGAAAATAAGGGTAGAATTGATGAGTGGCTGGGGTCGTGACACACAAGGGACTCCTATACTGCCCTGACACGTAGCAAACGCAAGTAGAGCCGCGCATTTGACACCCCGTTGTTAACGCAGTACTTGCGTCCCCACTCCCGTCTCAGAACCGAGCGCTATTCGTGCTGGAAGCGGAAGGTGAAGACAGGAGAATATCAGAGAATATACAGAGAGAGTACCATTCATGTGGAGGCTGCAGAGGCCAGTGCCAAACAGCTTCTTTTGCCTGTACATTGGAGACAAACCAGTTGCCTCCGTCTTCCCTGAGCCAGATCAGGATGCCTTTTCACAACATAAAGAACGACGTCTATTACGCAAAGTTTCCATTCAGATTCATTAGTGACGACAATTTATGCGACATTGATAAGAAGTGTGTGGGGTCAAAGCTTGTGTGCTGTGACCTTCCCTGATATGTTCCCATCAGCATCTAGTCACAGTGGAAGAAGAATGTTTCCTCGGTGGTATTGACGTCTTGCCATACACTAAGGAGGTGGTTAGTGCACTAGGAGTCCTAACTTGTCCTCATGTACCGAAATAATCTTCGAAAGTACAGCGCATGCTCATACGTTCGCAATGCAGGAGAAACCGCTAGATTGTACAGATCTGACTACCGTAGCTTACTCTGCCAAAATATGCTGCGAAGTGACATCAGTGCGCTAAACATTCACTACACTGAAAAGCTTTCTTAAAAGTCAGTGAAACTACCTCGTCGTTGGTCACTGGAAAAACCTAGCCAAGTATGCAATGAAACGGTTACAGGCAGGACTGCAGAATCAATTCGTCGCGTCAATTGCGGTGGCTGCTTCTGTTAAAGCTGAGACTAACGTCCTAAACTGGGTGGCAGATTACGAGAAGCCAGGATCAAAAGACTCTAGGAGCGGCCGACCACGGGAGACAAATGACCCTATGGTCCGCAGCACGAAAATGTTAATTTTACAAATGTAAACCGTTGTAAAACGACTCACTCGTATCTAAGGTTGAGTGTGTTATGATACAAAAGATACGACAGCGGTTATGTCGTCCATCTTCCCGCCACTATACGAGTAGCCGACGGCCTGCGCTTCCTTAGCGAAAGGACTCATTCCTTCCTGAGTTGCTCCGACTTTGTGTGCAATATTAGCCAGCTCCTTAGCCACAGTCTGCATACGAGAAGAAGCAGGTCAGCGCTGAATAAAGTAGACACATAATAAATCAAGAGAAAAGAAACCTTATATCAATACTCTGTCCTAAAACTGGTAAATATCCATCACTGCCTGCCTACGAATGTAACTGAACACTACATCTTCATAGCACTCATAACTGCCGATGTTAGAAACTTGACTCTTAAGCCGTCTAAAAACTGATAGATATCGATCACTCCCTGCCTACGAAAGTAACTAAATAATTACATCTTCATACCACTCATAACTGCCAGCGTTATGAACTTGAATCTTACTTCGGGTTCAGATTTTAATTGCAGAAGTTTGTCTACAATCTCAACAATCTGATTCTCGAAAAGGTTGTCAAACAAACCGTCAGACCCCAGAATGATAACATCTCCTTTCTCAACAGGTACCCGATACACCTGTTCAGTAAAGAAAAACGATAGTTTAGAGCTAGCATTCTGCACCAAGTACATCATTCCTGAATGATCCTTTTCCATATAGAATTTCATCATAAACAGATAGTCACCACAGGTATTCAAGACTAGCGTTCTCTCCTCCAAAACATTAGAATTACCTCTGCTAGGAATGGATCATCGCCCACGCTTCCAATTTGGTACGGGAAATTAAAACCCCGTTGCATTGGTGTCGAGCGAGCAACTGCTTCGCCATCCCTTACTACCAGAAAGCCAGTGTCTCCCATATTAACCACGGTAAGAGTCTGCGAAAACCAGATAGCATTAAGTCAAACCCGAAGTCCTAACGGCAAAATAATTTACTCTTTCACCATGTAAACTATTGCCGTCAGTTGTTTACTCCTTCCTTCTCCCACTATCAGAATGAATCCCTCTCGTCTGGCATCCTCCGTTCCTTCTCTCCTCCCTCTTCTTCTTCGTCCGTCAACACTGCCGTCCACAGACGTTGCAGAATTTCAAATTCTTCAGGTTAAGACAGTTATTCATACTTACTTATACAGCAAAAGCAAAGTTATAGCAGACAGAAACCAAACAAGATCTGACTCATCTCGGCTACTTCAATCACTCATTATTACAGCATATGACACAGTGGCATACTCGAACAAACGAAGAAAACTGTAAATTGAAAGGGAGAATATTTCAGCAACATCTCCAATTGGAAAATCATGAGCAAAACTACAGGGGAAACAGTGGCTTTTCGTGACTTCACATAGAGTTGAGCTATAATCCGCTTCTGCGCAGAGGCTATGAAGTTCACTAAAAAACCTGATTGGATCTACTAAAGTTGCTGAGTTTCACGGCTCTTCACGTTCTGTTCTATCTTGACCCTCCTTACGGTTGAGATGACCAGATTACCTGCATGGAACTACTTGCTTCACTACGTGATTACGAGTATTCGGATGGAGAGTTTTGCGACAAAACTTTACGAAAAAAACTCAGTTTCAGTGTCTAGGAAGACAACCTAATTGGTTATTGACGAGAAAAGATGAAAGACGTAAATAATGAGATAAGGCCAAGTAAAAGAGTGCCCTTCGTGATTCGACGTCTGAGTCCTTCCACATGCCCGTCAGCATAACAGCAGTTCTCAAACAATGAGGGGTGCGCACTTGACAAGACACGTCGGCAGGCAAACTGCAACTGCTGCTATTTTCTCATAATCTCCATCGGACCTACGCAGACCCTTTTTGCCGATCATGAAGAAGAGAGCACTCAGTGTACCATAGGCAGAACAAGTGGAAAAACGGGGCGGAAAGATGAAAAGAAAATTTGGTTCAGATTGCTTCGGAGATGGCAGGCATGAGAAGAAAGACCTGGCCACTGATGGAAGCTACTACAGCAGTTGTTGATCCCATGGCCTTTGTTCTGGAAAAGCTCTTCACGAGCAGAGTTTTTGGATCAGATTCCTTATCACTTTGTCGAGCAAGCTCCGCACAGTGCCACATGAGCTCTCGTGCATAGTGTCCTGCATTTATACCTGAATGGCAGCAAATGTATCGTTAGAACCTTACTTGGTTCCACCCGCAGTAGATATTGCACACACTTTTCCTTCCCTTCTGTGACACCAATCACAAACGACTGTCTGTAATGGCAAGTTCTCTCACGTGTTTCTTTGAAGAACAGACAACAACAATCTCACGTTGTACGGCTGGAGCCCGAATTAACCCACAGATTTTCAGACACCAATATTGTAAGCAAAAGACTTACTAAAAAGCTATTCTGATACTAAGGAGGTGACTTTATATAAATTACAGACTCTTCAAAGAAACGGCACAACGCCCGAAAATAGGAGGTCAATGGACTTCGAGTATGGCAACTGACTTTAGCTAGGAGTGCAAGCTAGCTGTACTTTTAATAAGGAGAAGCTTCTCTAATATCTTGCACCGCGTGGTAGAGAAACGTTTTACGTATGAGCAAGTCGTTGGCGAGCTGGTATAATAAATAATGTGTGTATGATCTAAGAGTGAATGTACACGTCATAAGGACGAGGCTGAGAATTTCATAGCGAAATGCGGAACTGGTGTGCGACGACCTTCGACAAGCATCGCAATTGCAGCCATTCAAGGATTGTCCTTCATAGTGGTTGTCCTAATATATTTGTTCTTGACATAGCCTGAAGACCAAAGGCCTTGACGCTCCTGGCTCAGCGGTACCATCTTCTACTCGTCCAAGAAGCAATTAATGGTACCAGGGTCTGTACTTGAGTTGGAGTCCGGTTTATCATGAGGACAGAAACTTCAGTCTTTGGCAGCACGTACAATGGGAGAATTTTCTGGATTTGGTCAGTCTTTGCTCTTGGTCTGGGTGTCATTCGAGCTAGACTCGCTGTTTACTGTACTTTTGCAGACGTGGGTGAACTAGAGCTCAGGAACTATTCGGAAACAATGGCGAAACAGTTGTTATATGCGCATGGTTAAATAGACTGTCCTTAAGAACTTGCAATTCTGCTTGCCCTCTATATGCACAACTCGGAACATCAATTATGTCCATCTCAAATATTGTTCATTAGTCCTTATATTTATGAAGACTAAGAACCCACAGCCCGGAGATCCCGAGAAAATTACCTTCAAGGGCCCAGCCCCCAACCCCGTCTGCAACTCCTATCCATTGGCTGCCTTCAATAAAGTATGCATCTTCACCACCACGTGCAGCCTGCGCAGACGATGAAACGATATTGAACACGAGTGGCCTGGAAATGACAAAAAAAAATACGTGTTTATTTGCCTAACAGTTCATATTCTGTTCTTCTAGTACTAACAAAACATCTGAGAAGAAGTCAAGCTCCTGGATTGACAAGCAAACAGTAAAGAACTGCTACACCAAAACAGCTTACAACTAGGGTAAGCAACATGATTAATAAATAAACGTGAATATACATGATATGTATTCAATGTACGTGGAGCTTTTGCTTCACTTTCGGCTTGAATATCTGTCAGTTCTAATTAGTAAATACGATTTACCTTCTCCGGATGTGGAATCATGGCAGCTCCTGAGCTGAAGCGACAACTTGTCAAATCTTTCGTTTCGTCACCCTTGACCTGAGTGGGTTCTTCGCTGTGAAAGAAGCAAATATACAGGTATAGACTCGTCAACAATGTACAAGGAAAAATAGGAAAAAAACTTCCGCGTCATATATGAAGCACGATACTTTCGATGAGGGAAAGCCCCTTCCAACTGGTTTAGGATTAACTCACGTATTATAACTACAAACTCAAAGCTTGACCTCACAGAGGAGAACTCAGAAGGAAGGTGACGATTTAATAGGTGAAGAGATGTAGTTCGCACCTGATGGTTTGAGGACTCGTTTTTAGGTCAAGATTATCTACTGTAACCTGTGCCAGACGCCAATTGTTGAATGTCAGAAAGAACAAGGAAGAAATCAGACTGAGGGGTATGCTTCTCCACCATATACAAGAACAGCAATTCCGTTATTCTGCTGCCGGCACTTCTAAACATATCTTGCCTTTTGGAAATTGTTATATCACACAAACCATCAATGTCTGGGACAGACCTTCACAGATGTAGATTGTGCATTGAGGATGCTTAAGTGACTATTGTGCAAAATATCTGCATGCAAATCTTCTCCGCTGTGTGATTTTAAACTCCAAAGCACAAAGAAATTCAGTAAAAACAAGGAGAAGTACCTCCTTACGGCTGGAATCCTTATTTTTCACTGGATCCACCTGCTGTTCTCCCAATTCGAGGTCAACAAACTGCTGTTCGATTTCACCACAATTTGTGTCCGATGTTGGTGAATCCTGTTCTACAACAGCGTCAAGCTGTGAAGTTGAAGAAGCCGATACAACCGCCTCCTCATGGTGGCCAGGTGGATTCTGTAGCTGCTCAGCGTCTGCAGAAAAAGAATTATTTAGTGGATTATTGTCCAGTTCTTCACGTCCATCAGCGTCTTTGGAATCCAGGTGCTCATTCGCGGTTAACATAGCCTCTTTTTGTTCAGGGCTCCCGAACTTGTACATGATACTTCCATCTGCACACTCTGAGAGTATACGGGTGAATATTAGGAAGTGAGAAAGCTGAACAGATCAGCCGTTTTTTATATCTCCCATTTAGCTAAGGTCATGGTGAGAATCACCTGCCCTCTGTTCTTAAACTTCATGTCAGCTTTGGGTCGTTATAGAACTTCTAAGTACCATAACGCATTTTCGGTTGTCATCCATCCAAATACTCAACGTTGACGATGCGGTACCAAATCAGATAGTGGCTTTCCCGAAGAGATTCCGCGAAATTGACAGAAAATTTATTCTGAGGTACGTGGGTGACACTTCATGATTCAACGCGAATTCTCTTATCATCCATCACTTCCACAGTCCAAATGCTGATATTCAATTCATGGTAATAAATGGGTGCACCTCTGGTTTCCAAAAGTACCGGGTTGGCTGCTCCATACGAAGGTTCAGTCGATGCACATTGCCTCAAAAGGAGCAAGCTGGAACAATTTCCTCTTGAAACCCGTCCCGACACCACTTGCTGCCTCAAGGGTAAGTGCAACGCAGGACGAACTGGCTGGAGTGCAGAAAAAATTAAAGCAGTACTCGCCATCTTCACACAAACGTCTCGATGCCATTGCTTTATCAAGCCCCTCCCCAGAGCTCTTGCACCGACTTGTGCCATTCTTCCCGTTGTACAACCCAAAACACAATTGCTGCTCACTTGCATCTCTTCTCAGACGTGTACACTGATTACGGTAACAGTTACGAACATATCTTCCGGGCCAAATCCTTCTGCAAATTTATGTCTCTGCTCTACGCCTCAAAACCTCCAAAACCCTTAGGCTTGCCCTTCTTCACTTCAGCCTTCCCGCCCTGCGACAGACAAATTCAGAAAAATAAGAAGAATAAGCCGAATGCCAAGATACAATCCACGCGCTAGGTTGAAGCCTGAGTCGAAATTCTCTTCAAAACGAAAAATTCTCACCGAAATGCTAAGGCTGAGACACAAGAAACACCAGTTCGAGAATCAGGGAAAGGTTTGAGGCCCAAGAATACGCCCTCTCGTCATAATCACGAATCTGGAGGCATGACGGCCTTAAAAAAAAAAAATCAGCGGCTTACAATCACAGCCACTGCTGCACGAAGCAGTCTTCTTTATAGTCATGCCAATTGCCCAAAATTTGTCAACCTTGCTGAATACTGGTGGGTCCACTCAGAGATAAAATACCATTGACATTGACACGAAAGTCTCATGAAGATTATTTCCCGCATACTGTCCCCCACGCCCTCTCTCGCTCTCTCCCAATCCCCCCCATTCCTGACACTGTGCTGCAAACCGTGCTGGAATTCCTTCTTACATGCCGCAACTGACAGAATTCAAGCTACGAACAAACGAGCGATTTTTATCCTGCTCACGATATCCGAGCAAATCTTACCGCACGCCGCCATGCCGCAATCCGAATCGGAAAGCTTGCGCCAGACAAGAGATTGGAGATGGCTCCGCCGCGAGGAATCTCCAGAACAAAATCCACTTGTTGTGCGCGAGCTCTCGATTGAATCCGATTGTCCAACTCCCGCGTGGGTCCATTCAGCCAATGCCACGATGTGCGCAGATTCTGCGAACATTCCCCACATTTCGCTATTTTCCCTCTTTTTTCCCTTATCTGGACGTAAGATCTCGGAATTGGAGAAACGTAAGAAAACCGTTGGCCTTGTCAAGTTCACTTTCCTGTCAAAGGGTTTACAAAATGATAAAGCAACAAAATTGGCAAGACCCATCTATAGATACATTAATGACAACAAATGGTTTGCATGGTATAGTTCCATTATGATCACAAAGTCATATTACATTTAAGACATCTTAAAACTTTACATTTCAGAGATCCCAAGAATTATCAACTATTGGTAATTTACAATAAATATTTATCTCCTCGTTGGATATTCAATAATTTTCCATATCTATTTTAAACATGTCCATGTGTTAATATGGTTTCACACCACTTCAACGTTAAAGTAAAAACAAATCAATATAAGCTGAATATCTTGGTTGTTATTGTTACAATCACCAGCCATCAAATAATACGGATAATTTACACCCTACAACTACGTAACTACAACAACACTAACCTAGTACTTCCATATTAATTAAAAATCTATCTGAACCTTGTCCATGACAAACTCTCAGTTCATGTGAGAATGTACATTTCACGAAATATGGGTATGATGTCTATACTGGTTGATAGTGAAATTTCAAAATTGCATCAGGGATAACTGACACTTATTATTCCAATGGAGAACAAGCTCTATAAACATACGGTGACTCACATGACCCACTTATGCTTAAAAACGTATCATTATGGATAAAGTCAGCGATTATTAATCATTGTAGAAAGAGTGAGTGGTGTAAGCCGGAGATATCAAGAAATATCATATGTTTTTGTTACAGCCAAGACAAACAATTACGGGTTTTGATACAACTGTAGAGGAATAGTGAGTGAGAATAGAAATGTTTGTTTTGAATTTCATAAATATTGTTTTCAAAATGGAACTTTGTAGTATACTACACTATAATATTCATAAATAAAGCTTATTATAGCTTCTCTCTCACGCACATTGTTCCCATTAGATGTCTGAATAATATACTCGTTGTTTGTGTTCAAAGTAAACAATTGTGATCCATTGAACATTTCTTAGTAATATACATGATTGTTAAAAATATCACATTTCTATTTTATTTTGTAACTTCTAAATTTCTTCAAGGTATAATTTTCTTAGTTTCATACGCGTAAGAATACCTTGTTGACATAAATTTTTTCAAAAAATATTAAACATATTAGTTGAAGCTAGATTTTGTTTTATGCATTTTTTATATTAATCTGAAAAAGTTGTGTTTCACATATTACTTCAGAATCGAGCCATACAAAAAAGTCATTAATAAAATTTGAAGAAACCTTGTTCAGTAAACAAAAATTATTAGTGGCTACTAAATCTAAAAAATAATATTTCAATCAAAAATTCAATTTTATTACAAAATATTTAAAATAAATACAAATTCATGTTGTAAATATAAGTCTTAGAAGTGTGAACTCATAAAAAATAGCACTAAAGAGATATTTTCAATTTTTGCGGACAAAATAATATAATTAATTTACAAAATTTTATTATTTACACTTTCAAATAATTTTGATTGATTATATATTTTTATTTTAAAATTAATAAATTTATCATAACAAACTATATGAATGTTTTGAATGTTATTGATATTATGTCTATTTTAATTTTATTTTATGTATATATTTCTAAAATGTCTTATGATATCATATGAAAAATTAACTTTTAAATTTTGGATATATTTTCCCATTCAATTTTAAAATTTTAATATAAAATTTTCTATTTAAATTCAAATTTTTTTAAACTTTTCATGACAAAAGAGTATGTTTTATGCAAAAAAAAATTTAAATGAACTAGCCTCATAAAAACACAGCATAAAAAACTACAACTTATAGTTGTCAAACTAATGAAGAAATCACAAATCCACAAAACCTATGTTTATTGAGAAAAAATCACAAGCACACAACAAATTCACCATCAACAACACAAGAACACATTGTTGGTTCTCAACACTCAGTCTTACTCGACATGAACTCAACACATTTTTCTACGCACCACTATAATAACACAATTAGTAGAGACTACTTTATATATTGTTAATAATCAGACTTGGTCACAACATGGATCTTTCAAATATAAATAAATATTAAACTCTCTATCTTTCCTTTTCAAAATACTATGCCAAAGTGCTTTCCAAGCTTAGCGTCTCTCATTTCAAATTGCCACTTGAAAGTGCCGCATTACCAGTGTCAAATATGGTAAAGTGGCTAAAGTGGCTATCAGAGATTTGAAAAACAATTGCTTATCCATAAATCTTTTCTTTTTTTCGTTAAATTTTAATTTTTCTTAATTACATCATCAATCTTTTGAAAAAAAAAACTTTAATGCTTGCAAAAATTTAAATCTCTTTTAACTTGATATTAATAAAAGATTATTTTTTTATAATATAAAATTTATTTCTTATTGATTATAAATAAACTTATATTATTCAATGTATTATAAATTGTAATATTCATTTGAATATACATTTGGTTGAAATTAAATGATTGTAATACTTAAAATCAATGCTACTTGTAATTGATTTAAGAAAAGTAGGAGATTTTTAAATAACCACATACTAATGTCTTGAAATTACAAAGTAAACAAAAATTTCAGGAAAAAAATATGAGATATCAACTTTAATATTCAAAAAATGTTTTTTCAATGTTTTTTTAAATTTAATTAAAATAAAAAACACATAAAAACTACTTTTTGTGATCAAAATAAACACATCCATTAATCCTTGTGAAAAAGTTCATACATCAAACCAACTATGGATCAATGGCCAACTTGTTAAGTTTAGCAACCGCAAAGATATCGATGAGATACAGCAAAAGCAACATCCTCGCAAAGGAAAGTGTTTAAAGAATGTGATTGCACCGCGGGGTTGCTAAACATAACATGTCACTCCTACTCAACATAACATGAAAGAGCACTTGAATAAACATTGAATTTAATATTTTGATCTAAAATTTTATTTTTCTAATTTTTAAGCATGGAAAACACATTTCTATATACATACAAATCTGAAATATTTTAAAAATAATTTGTAACAAATTTTTTGAAATACTTGAAGTTAAAAATATGAAGTAAGCAAAATAATTATTTCTATTTTATTTTTTGCATTAATAAAATAACATTGTAAATTTTGTTAATAAAAATTCAGTTTTTAGATTAATTAATGCATCATAAATATTTTTAAACAATGGTAAATTTATTGAGAGTTCAAAATTAAATCAGTCGTTCAATTCATCAATAAAATATGAATGTAGCCTTCAAATATTTAACAATTTTCTATTATATTTTTTTCTTACAAATCAAAATATATTGCTTGCGATTATAGAGTGTATGTCATGTGCAGGTGAGAGCTTTGTTAGAATTTATTTTTATTCAATAAAGAATAGTTCTGAATTAAGATTTGAATGATAACAGTTGTTAAAAAAGTTTAAAATATTTAAAATAAAAATTCTTAAATATTTTATATTGGAACTTGAATGATTTAGTCAAGTTTAGCAAATTTTTGACCACTTTATTTCAACAAAAATTAAATTTATGACATGTATTTTTTGTCACTATGTAATTTCAGCTCAACTAATCAGTTTTGAAAATATTGATTTTTAAATATACATTAAAAGGCAGGATTCTCTATATAGGGAACCATGATACATGTCCTGTATTTTAACAAAATAAAGATATTTATTAACATAAAATACAGAATATACAGGATTTAGTACAAAAAGCTCTTGTTTTCTTTAAAAATGTTTGAATTTGAGTACCTTTTTCAAAGATATTGATGTAATGTTTGATATGTGAATATGTTTTTATCATTTTAGCATTGAAAAATCGCTTTTTAAAGTGTAAGTTTGGAAATGGTCAAGCTAATCTTACAAAGAAACCCATGAATCTACACTCATGGGTTTCAATAAATGTTTCAATAAATTTTAATTGCGCAACTTCAATAATTTATTCAAAATTTGCAACTTTTTGACCAGTATATTTCAACAAAAACTAAATTTATGACATGTATTTTGTGTTATGATTGAATGTTAGTTCAACTACATCAGTTTTGAACAAAATTTTAATTTTTATGTATACATTGAAAGTTGATTGCAACAAAAGTGTTGAGGTGTTACAAGATTTTTATAAATTAATTTGGAAGAAATAATTCTAATATATGTTTTTGTTAACAAAACTTAGTTTTATTAAATTTCATTAAATTTAAATAAATATCAAAATTAGAACAAGAATACTTTAGTGGGGAACGAGATCGGGTTATTATAGCCAAATGATACATAGGAATAACCCTAATACATGCATCCACGTAGCGTCATCTTAGTAGCACCGCTTAGTAACTACTTTTCTATGAATATTTAGGATGCATGTATGTAGTAACGAGTGTACTGAGAAGTAACTGCGTAGTATTAGTTCTAGCACTCCCACTTACTAATAAAAAAATGAAAGATAGAGATAATTGTAAGATAATTATTAATAATTTCTTATGCCTGAGGTTTTCTGATTAAAAATATTTTTAAAGTATGAAAAAATAATAAAAAAATATTTGTAGTAAAAATACAAATAAAATTTGCAATTAAATTTTGTACATGTGATACATGTATCACTTTAATGACAAATAACATCACGATATGAACTAACAAAGATTAGTAAAGATGATAGTAAGACACTGGTTATGGTCTGCAACTACCTAGAAATTAAAGATTCATTAAAACTGTGTCGATCATCTTCACATGGTTTATGAAAGTAAGACACCATCAAACCAAAAATAAAATAAAATAAAATAAAAATTTTAAAAATGTGATTATGATAGCTCTCTAATACATTAAGAATTCTTTATTGATTAATTAATTTGTATGTATTTCATCACACTATCATAGTGATCACATCATCATCCATTTGGAAACAAAAATTGTTCCATCCACTATCAAGAAATTCGTGAACAATATGGGATCGAGAGAGGCATTTAAA